CATCACTTTAATGAGGAGAGAATGAGAATAGCTCTCCTCTATCACCATATGGGCTTAAGCCCATTGGACCCTTTTAAACTAGTTTTAGATAAGGAGCGACTGGATAAAGAATATTTATTTATTTTTTATTTTTTATTCTAATCTTGTTTACCCCTTTTGGAGTTTTGTAACCATTCTGGATAGCAGTGTCCCTTTGTGGGTGTCTTTATATTGATTGCTTTTAGTGTTAGTTGCTCTATTTTTTGCATTAATCTTGGGAGACTGTGGCTATGGCACCTTTCTAGGCGACAAGTATTCTCTCTAGAGGAATCCCATGTGTATGATTGCCTTAATAGGTATAAAAGATTCCATCTATGGGGATCCAGTATAATAATTGCCTCTATGGATGACAAGGATTCCATCAATGAGGATCCAACATAACAATTGCCTCTATGGACGGAAAGGATCCCATCTTTAGGGATCCAACACAATATTTGCCTCTATGGGCGGCAAGGACCCCATTTTGGGGGATCCAGCATAATAATTGCCTTTATGGGCGACAAGGATCCCATGTTGGGGGATCCAGCAAAATAATTGCCTCTATGGACGACAAGGATCCCATATTGAGGGATCCTGCAAAATAATTGCCTCTATGGGTGGCAAGAATCCCATCTTGTGGGATTCAACATAATAATTGGCTCTTGGAAGGAAAGGAACCCATCTTGGGGGATCCATCATAATAATTGTCTTTATGGGTGGCAAGGATCCCATCTTGGGGGATCCAGCATTATAATTGTTTGTCCCCTATGGACATGGATTTCCTGCATGTCTCTGACATAACAAAAAAATATAGATAAACAAGGATGAGCTACCTTAAACATCCTCGCTCCCTTGGAGGCACAAAGAAAAAAGAGTGCATCCCAAATAATAGCTTGCCCTTACAACCAGTAGAGTTCTAATACTCACCTAAAAAACGTTAAATAGGTAAACAAGTAATAGAAGATAAAACAATTACATAAATGGATAATATAAACGGAAAACATGGCTTCGTAGGAGAAAATGGTGTTTCCCATTTCTTTCAAGCCCCTTTGTCTTGTACAGTCAGATGGGAAGGCTCATTTCTCCCTCCCGCCTCTCTAGGAGGCGTGATTTCATAGTTGGCTTTATTTACCTTTATGGCCTAAAAATGTGCTCACTTTAACTTGAGACTCTCTGCGTAGCATTTCCTAGTCTCCTCTGACAACTCCCACTTACCTATTGGGAAGCAGGTATTTCATGCACAAATACAAGGTAGAAAAAATGGCTCATAATCGATTAAAGGTTGGTCTCTAAATAATCATATTATACGAGAAATGGGCATCAATGACTAAGTACTTAACCTTTATTTCCTTGGCATGGTCTTGCTCTCCGAACATGATATTCAGGGTGAGGTAGCCTTTCACATGCACTTATTCTCATTGTAATTCGACCAACGATCCTTTGAAGGGCTTCAGGTCTTCGGGATCGAAATAGAATCTCTCGAAGGCGTCCCAATATAATATGTCGGCAGAGCTTCCCTAGTCAACTAGGACCAAATGCATCTTCCTCTGAGAAGAAAATTGTGGCTTCTGGTGCTTTCATGTCCCTGATTTGGGGGAGGTCTTCTACGCTTAAGACTTGGCAGGCGTGTCTTTTGCGGGCAGAGCTGGTATCATCAACCCCAGTAAATCCTCCTGCTATGGTATTAAACGTGTGACATGTCACTATACCGCCCTTTCCCAAGGATGTTTCTTTGGCTTTCCTTGACCTTGAACTTCTGGCATCGTCTTGCCCACCTGGGTTACGTTGTTCAACCTGGTTTGAGGAGTCACACTTCACATACTTCTTCAGTGGCCCTCCCGTATTACTTTTATATTTCATTCTTTAGCTGGTAGCAGTGGTTGGTATGATGTCCTTTTACCCTATGGAACTTGCACCACATTTCAGGATCAGATTCCATCACCTCGGACCTGGCGGCAGGTGGTGTCAGGATGTTGTGTAAGTGGAGTACCTCACGTCGTATATGTTATCGACGAGTGTTCAAAATTGTGAAACTCTCATTCACCTCCTTGCCCTTTTGAACGTGGATTTTTCCTTCACGGTTGAGGTATGCCTATTTTTCCTTGAGGGATAAGAGTGGAGGTGAAAAAAATACATAAGAAGGGGGGTTGAATTGCGTTCTCCAATTTACGTTGCTTCTGAACAGAGTTCGGATTCTAAACAATCTGTTCAGATTCTGATAATAAGTTACAGTGGAATAATAACATAAGTAAGTAAATAGCATATGAACACACAAATATTTATCCTGGTTTCTCCCAAAATGAAAGTAGTCCATTCTCCTTACTTAATCAACAATTTGATCAAGACTTCAATGTTCAAGAACATAGCAGAAGACTTACTTGGTTCAAGCTTACAACTAAACACATAGCAGGAGACTTTCTTTCTAAACTACTAAACAACCTGATGCTCAAGCACATATCAAGAGACTTTCTTTCTAAACTACTAAACAACATGTTTAGCAGAATAGACAATAAGGTGTACTTGATATACAATCAGAGGTACAGGGAAATAACTATAACAATGATCATAGCACTTAATATTTCTAAGATATTCATTGTTTAAGAAATCTTAAGACTTTGTACAATTTAAAACAAATACCAAAAACTCTGCATACTCGATGTTATTGTTGATCTTATTATTCTTCCATGTTGATAGAAGCGTAAGACGCTACTTTTCTTCTTTGCCCTCTTTCTTTATTCCTTATTGTTAATTCAGATTGAATATTCAATGACTTAACTGGTAGATACAAAAGAATAGTCGTTAGAAGAGATAACTTGTAAAAGTGTCTTTGTTACTCCATTGTACTAAGAGACGTTGAAGATAGATACACAAAAAGATCTTTATTCATTATGTAACTTATTTAAACGTAGTGTCTTCCTTAAGAACTATACTATAGATTCATTGAGAGTGGATATTCGTAAAGCATCTCAATTCTCCTTGAGCCATGTGAACACAGACTCTAGATGACAAACTAATTTGACATTGTAGTTTGCTTTATGCAGTACGGATCACTTAGCTTTGTTTATGATTTTGAATTATCACTCGAAGTTGATATATTCAATAAGTGTAGTGATGATATATTGCTCTTATGATATTGATAATTCAGCTTCAGATTCTAAGCAAACATATATCATTCGACTTCCCTTAAGAACGTTCTTCATTTTTGAACCATCGGAAGCCAAAAACTCAGTTTCTCTCAAATGCATTCTCTTAACAGATCCTGAGTAGATTCTCTTTAAGCTTTGGAACCTGCATAAATTAAAACACACATTAGCTAACTCCATTGTTCTTTCAATATTATCATTAAAACCTACAGAATATATGGCATGAATAAATCTTGATCTAACAGAGAGCTCTTAACACTGTGAATGTGCTTCTTAACGTTGCAGGCCTTATTTTCAGCTTTTTTTGGTGCATTTTATGTAACACTCTGCCATGGTGACTACCTCGGCTAGCATGAGTGCTGGATTTTGAGTGAGGGATTCATTGAAGTGTCCCACCTTAAGTTCATTTTGGAATTTCCCCACAAACATTTCCTAGTTTGGAGGAACAACCTTGATGGTGGCCTCATTGAAGCGGACGAGATAGTCCCTCAACATTTCTGACGGGCCCTGACGGATGTTGAACAAGCTCGTGGTGGACATCTTCCTATGGCGAATGGCGACGAACTTGTGTACTAACTTTCTCACAAATTCATGATAGGCCCATGTACCATCTGAGGGCGGCCCCTCTGAAGGTGCCTGACAATAACTTATATTTTAGGGAGTCTGGTGCTCCTATGATGGTCATCTGCGTGTTGATCGAGGCGGTGTGTTTGTAGGGATCACTGCGTCTATCCCTATTTTGTTCGACAGTGGCTGGTAATCCATCAGTTCCATCTCTTCTAAGGGATTAACCTCCTGTTGGCCCTGCCTGATGTTCTAGACTTCACTTTCTAACGTTCAATTGTGGTGTTGTAATTCGTTCATGGTGGCTAGCCTCTCTTTCATGGCCTTGGCATCGCATTTACCGTTGGTACGGGAGTATGGGATGGAGCCCTTATGTTCACCATGACTGATAACAATTAGGTGTTGGAGTTAAAGGTACAATATAGAAGGTGATGATTGTTAAAAAGAGGTGTGTTCCATATTAGTTTTACCGGGCGCTATTGTACTGTCCAAAAATTACAGGGTGTGTATGTTCCCTCTGCAAGGGTAGAGAGATTCAGAGTTTCTAGTAGGTATATTACAAGTTTGGGGGATGAGGGCTAACTCACAGAGGCAAGTAGCCTTGTATGATAATTTTTTAGGATGTCTTAGGGACCTACTCACGGAGGCGAGTAGCCTTGTATGATAGTTTTTAGGATGTTTTAGGGACCGACTCACATGATGTTAAAGGCCCTAATGATGGCCGACGTTGTTGGGTTGCAGTCATACATGTTTTTTTTTTATAGTGTTAAGCTACTAGGAGCGTGGTACTTTATGAATAGTGGTAAAATGTCTATGAGTGGAGAATCTCTTCTATCCCGCAGGGAATAGTGTATTGATAGGGATTCCCAAAGCCTAGGATTTTTTGCTTCTGAACGTAGTCTTAATCGTTCCTCATTTACTAAAGAGGTTATTAACCGCCTATCTTTTTGAGGTCCGCAAAGACTCTCTCTTATGTAACTCCTACATATGCGGGCTCTCCCGAACGAATCCCTTAAATTCAACCTGAACCATCCATCTGCTAGGTGAGAGCGGCCTGATCTAGGATTTCCTAAATATAACACTAATATATAAAAAAATTCTTCCAGTTATTTATTTGTGAAGGTTGTATCACAAATTGAATGCATATCTTAGCAAAATCAAATGTAAAAAGTTGTTTTATTTTCTCTTTGATTTTAAACATAATTCATTACTAAAACAATATCAAACACTAATAAACTGCTCTTATACAGATACATGACTTCAATTTTATGATCTCTAATCTCTGGTGCAATCTGTTGGCTTGAAAGATACCTCTTCTCTTTCTAGATCAAACCCAATTAAATAATTTGATTGTGCAAAATTACCATATATGCCTCCATCAGCACTATTGTTGGTTACTCCCAAGCAAATAACACCAACTTTTTCTATTTGTGGAATGAAGATTTGTATAGGAGTTAAAACTATATCTGCACCTTCAAAATGAAATGTTAAGTTTGGTCCATTAGGACTAGTATTTGTATGATAACAAAGTTGATTTCCCAAACTTGGATCATCTTGAATGGGTTCCATTGAAACTTTCTTCTTAACTTCATTAACCAATCTTTCATACAAATCATTAGGTAATATAGTTGGTGGTGTTCCTGAATCAATCATCATGTTACCTTTTGCAACAGTCCCTGAAGTTTTAAAGGGCAAATAAGTATTTTCCACAGTAATGCCTTCTAATGTAACTAAGTATGGTGTCTTGTCTGGTGTGGGAGAAGGAACCATTGGGGTTGTAACCACACCTTGCCCTAATACTTCACTACCTTTTCCAAAACTCAATTTGCTTGAAATTTTAATATCAGTGAGAAATGGAACCAAACACTGAGAAAACTTTAAGCCTCCAAGTAAAGGACCTAGTTGCGAAACGAATGATACGGGTCCTCTTCCAAGACCAACTATACCCATTTCATGATCATTGAAACCTCCTGTGTTGTTATGTCCACAACCAAAAAGAATACCTTTAAGAGAAACAGGTTCATTTGTGTTTGATGTTAAGGTAATTGTTTCTTGTGCAAGAACTCCTTTTGTTACGGAACTACTTGCATAGGCATAGGTGTAATCGCAACGCTTCTCAGGCGAACATTCCTTTGTGTCAAGTTTGTCACATAAAGGAGTATCACATGAGACATCACTGTAAGTCGAAGATTTTAATGGATTAAACAAAGGATCGATTTGTTTGTAGCACCCTACGCAAGGTTCACACGAGGTCCATGTAAGGTCACTTCCTGTATCTGCAATACCTGATATTTTCACTGGTGGAGTTCCAATATTCAACTCCATGAGATAATGGCCAATATAGGCATGTACAGGTGCATGTGCAGCATTTGGATTATTTTTAGATAACCTCATGAGATGTGAGCGTGAATAAGAGGGTTTTCGAAATAATTTAACAGTGAAACCATTGTTTTGGGCTGTAATGGATGAAATACAAAAAAGATGAAACACTAAAGAAATTATGGCTAGGAAAGAATAAAATGATGGAGAAGAAACCATGTTTTCTTGTCTTCTATGTGATAGAAGATAAAGAAGTTTTAGATATGAAGATATTTGGACACACTAGTGTGGTTTTTATATAGAGAAATGATATTATAACACAATATATGCTTAATATTTGTGTTCTTTTATTCAAATAGTAAAGTGGGCAATCATGGCCATACCAAATGTGTAGATTTCAAAATGCTATATTATTAAGTATTAATTGGGAAAACATTCCTGGCTTAGGTGATTTTATTTTGAATTAATAATATTTTTTTGACCAAATTATATTTTATTATATAATTTTAAAATAAAGTGAATTCACTGTTTCCATTTATATAATATTTAATTGGATTTTATAATAATATAATAATATTTTATTACTTTTTTAATTGTGTATTATTTTTGTTAAAAAAATAGTTGTATTATTTGAACATCAAGACATAAATATTTATTTATCTATACTATCTTTTTAAAGTAAATTTAGATTTGTTATCATTAGAGCATTTTTTCATCCTATATGTTTCTTAAATACCATACAAAATTTAAAAAATATCTATAATTTTTAGAGATACATCTCCTCCGTGTACACTTTAATATACACAATTTTATAAATATATTTATTCTGAAAATATATCTCAAAAAAGCTTCCAAAAATATATTTCCAAAAACAATAATTTCACAGACTACTATTTGCTCACTACCTAAATACTACTATAAACATTAATAATAATAATAATTACTTCTTGCAATTTTTTCTATTTGTTAATATTTAAAGATTTTTTATTGTTTATTGAGTTCAATATATATTAGTTATAAATTAATTAAAAATATTTTAAGTTATTTACCATTGAGAAAGAAAGAAATAAAAATAAAAGATAATTAAATTTACTTATTGTATTTATATATATATATATATATATATATATATATATATATATATATATATATATATATATATATATATATATATATATATATATATATATATATATATATATATATATATATATATATATATATATATATATATATATATATATAAGAAAAAAAATATGTAAAAATAAACCAAATAAATAATTAATGGACGCAAATAACTTCTTCCAATAAAAAAATTATAAATATATATTTATAAAATATTTTTTTCAAAAATATTTTCATTTTAAATATATTATTTAATTTATAATCCGTTGAAACAAATCAGCCAATAAATTAATTCAATAAAATCTTTTATTATATTTTATCAATTCATATCTTGTTTTTTATTTTTGTGGGACATATGAAGTATAATTTATAGATAGATATCAATTCAATTGACATATTATTCATATTATTATTATTATTATTATTATTATTATTATTATTATTATTATTATTATTATTATTATTATTATTATTATTAATGTTTATAGTAGTATTTAGGTAGTGAGCAAGTAGCAGTTTGTGAAATTGTTGTTTTCGAAAATATATTTTCGAAATTTTTCGGAGATATATTTTCGAAATAAATATATTTATAAAATTTGGGTCTGTCTCAAAAACGAATGAAATGTGTGTATTAAGGTGCATTCAGAGACATAAACAACTTTTTTGTGTAGGGATTTTATTATTCAGCGAGAAACAGTTAAACAACTTGCTCATATGGTTGTGTTGTTCTGGGTGATTTAAACTAAGATTAGGGATCAGCTTGCATGAACGCATATCATATCATAGGGGATAGGTAAAGTGGTTGGGTGGAGGTTCTGAATGGAAAATCAGTTAGACCTGTGGTTGATCGGTAAAATAGCAAATGTACTATTTTGCCAATGTAATAATAAAAGAGAAATTTTCCAAATATCGATCTCGAGAACTGCGTAGGAAATGCAAGTTCTCTAGTAATTCAGTTGAACAAAAGCACTTGGGGTTTTGAGATTGTTTGGTTTCATTATAAAAATATTTGCAAGTAAAAGAGGGAAATTGACTAAGTGGTTTTACAATATATGAGTAACATGCTAGGAAAAATGTATGATCTGATTCAGTAACATTTCTGAATTAACACTGCAATAACTTATTGTAACTAACTAATTACCGATTCTTTAGATTGTTTACTCCTAAGTCCTTAGTGAGAAAACCTTTAATCATTCATATTAATTTCTATGTCCATAGAGAATTATAAATGAAATTAAGCAATCAATTATCAAGAATATTTTGATTCATATATGGTATCCCTAGTCCTAGGTGATATCTACTACAGAATGATCAAAAGCAAAGTCTTAAAAACGGTGGTCCAGCCTAATCGTTAATCGAACATTAAACTCTGTTGGTCCGACGGGGCAAGCATTAAGAATAGTTAGAGATCAAATCAGTTATGAAAACAAAGGAAATGTTATTGCAATACTAATATCAGAGTCATTACAGATTCAAATCAGTGACACCCCCTAGCATTGGGAGTTTAGCTACTCATATTATTCGAAGAAAATACAAAGTAAAAACTAGAAATTACAAGATAATAGGATTATTTGATCTTCAATTGCTTCTGCTCATGAAAACCTTTAGTTCCTCAATCACCTTAATTTCTCCAATCTTGATCGTGTAATTCTTCTCTGGCAAAAAAGTCTATTTTCCTTCTCAAAACACGTCTTAAATACTCTCAGGTCCAACACAGCAATAGGAAAATACCCAAAATACCATTAGGAATCACAAAGGTCAAAAATCCAAGAAAATTAGAAGATGAAGCACTTTAGCCAACACGAGTCGTGTCAGCTGACATGGGCGGCCGTGTTGGCCCCCCGGTTTCCTAATAACGAAAATGTTTGTTCTAGACTTGCTGACATGGGTCGTGTCAGGTGAACGGGCACCTGTGTCATCCCATTGTCTAACATTTAGTTTTCTTTATCTTGGTACCAACCTGACACGGGCCATGTCAGGTGACACGGGTGGCCGTGTCAGGCCATTATTTCCTTTCAAAAACTCTTTTGAATTCCTACTGTTTTTCTTGATTTCAACTAAACACATAAGACGATTAACTAAAACTCATGGTAAAATAACGTATAAAAACCATTGATCAGTGGTATTGGCAGAAAAAGGAATGTTGCACTTCAAAACAATACTGAGTGTGATAATCATAAACTGTCTTATGCCCAGGTAGTTAGTGGTGGTAATATTGGGGATACTGGGAGTTATAAAGTTCATAAGTAAGCTTTTTTAGGTGGTAATCCTCGCTCCACCCATATTCAGGATAATGTCGAAACGTCAGATATGGCTAGATTTAAGAAAGTGTTTATAGAGGTGGTGGAAACGCCAAGAACAACGTATGAGGTGCAAGAAGCTCTGCATATTGAAGGATTTTTTAGCATTAAGGCTACACCTATGGGGGATAATATATGCATGCTTGAGTAAGAAATGAAGGGTGTGATTAAGAATATGGTTGAGGAAGATAAGGCCTAGGTATCTAGGTGGTTCTCTAAAATTCATCCATGGTCTCCATTGGACGTGGAAAATTAGAGACTCACATGGATACATTGCTATGGGGTTCCTTGTCATGTTTGGCATTCACAGTTCTTCAAATTAGTGACTAGCTTGATTGGGGTGTATGTTAAATCAGATGAAAATACTAATACGCATGTTTTTTTGTATGTGGGCGAATTTTGGTTTGGACTAAATATGCTTTAAACTTGAATGAGGTCTTCAACATTAGGGTGAATGGAAACATATATATAATTAAAGTTGTTGAAGATGTACATGGTCCTATGAGGATTGCTAACCCAGAAGGTAGAAAGTTTGTGGAGGATTCAACATATTCAGTTTCTGATAGCGATATGGGGGTGGGGTGATTATGAGGAGGAAGGTGATGAGGATGGGATAAATGATAAAAATATAGGGAGAAGATATAAGCATCCTAGGTTTGTGGTTTCCAATAAGTCAGGAGTAGATAAAGCAAATAGTGATAGGCAGGACTTTGGAGGAAAAGTTGACACGTTGGGGGCTGGGTCAGGTAACTGTTCAAAGCAAAGAAGGTTGGCATAAAAGACAAAGAATTTATTGTTGATGCATTGAAGAATTCAAATCAGGTGGATAGGGTGGGTGGCACAGCAGAGGCTTTAGCGTCACGTGTGTCTGATAGGGAGAACGAGGTCAGGGTTTTGGAAATGACAAATAGAGAGAACGTTGTTGTTGGTTTTAGGTCAGAAGCATATATTGGGCCTATGGTGGAAATGTCAGATCGTAGCTTTACTGATCTGATATCGTGTTCTGGGTCGGTGTTAATGGGCAACACGGTGGGTACAAGACATATGAAGAAAAAACTTCTAAATGACAATTATGATAAGATCAAGATTCCTTTCTCACTTTCCTACTTCTCAGCTTTGATTCACGTTGATAATCCCAATTATGGAAACTCTAAACCTTCCTCTGACAACTTTGTTTGTCCAACATTTTCATTTTCTCAAGTTGTGGATTCTTCTTCTCGTTACTCTGGTGGCTTGGTTCTGTGTTGTGACTCAATTGGTCATTTAAATGTGAATCAAGAAATTTAAGGATATTACATAAGTGTGAAGATGTTCCTATCAAAGTGTGGGAAACCATTAAAAGCTTGGGTATTGAGGGCGAGGAAGATGACGAAGTGTTTGAAGATATTAGCATAAAAATGGAGTATATTGATAGGATTGCATGTGACAATAAGATGGCAGTGGAAAACGAATCTAGATGAATTTTTTCGCTTTCAATATTATAGGGTGGGGTTATACGGCCAAACGCAAGAGGATCAAACAAATATTGGAAAAAGGGAATGCAGATATGTGTTTTCTTTCAGAAACAAAACGGCAAAGCTTTCTGGATTCAATGGTGTAGAGTATTTGGGGTGACAATAACTTTCAATGGTATGCTTCTGAGTTTTTCTAGCCAAGTTGGGGTTTTGTTAATGATTTGGAGGAAGGATTTTGTGGTGCCAAATTTTAGCTTCAGAGGCGCGGATTATATGGGCTTAAATGTAATTTGGAAAGGTAGGAATTTTTACTTTGTTAACATATATTCTCCTTGTGGGC